ACTCATGGCTAGCCGTGAGGCGTCGGACGGATGAGTAATTTTTACGGAACAGATCGTAGAATTTACGTGACGATTGACACTTTTTATTGAATTTTACTTCGCTCCCAGATTACGTTTCGAAACGTAATTTTTAGGTATCTTTTCTGGTAATTTTTATTGAATATTTCTCTCCGTGTACATCGTCATATTATTTTCCAAAATATTCTATTGTGAGAATTAAGTTGACATTATTATGTTCGTAAAAGATTGAACATATGGCACGCAGCACTTTCAACAGACTGGGATTTGTCATTCCTTTCAGTCATGAATTGTGAATCACATGAATCATTGACTCAGTTTATTGGAGGGAATGACAAATGCTGTTTGTTTTATGATCTATGATTTAAATGTCTATTGTTTTAAATGTTTTATGAATTTTATAATGTGTTCATAATATTTTAGAAAATAATATGAGTGTGTACTTGACTATCAAGAAGCCTGAGGAAGCTTAAATTATCGGCGAAACGTCGCGAATTGACGATACTCTACTTTGATGATGAATAACAATTTCGACTCGTCAAATGACTAAAAAATGACGGTCATGTGACGCACAAATTTTCTAACTACGAATGATGGCCACAAATAATGTGTAAGCAAATTGGTGTCAAGGCATTTGTATGGATAATGATGTCATAATGACGGTCGTAAGTAATTTCTAATTTGTGACGGTCATAAATTAAAAAATTGTGTTATCTACACAGATGAAGAATGGCCGTGATTTTTATTTTAAAGTGCGCACTAGTCCCATGCAAAAAGGATTGAAATAAAAATTGTTGAAGAAAAAATTGAGCTGAAAAATGACTGTCATTTTTTCTTGGCAAATTGCGATGGTCATAGAGGGAGGAGGGGAATTGTTACAGCCGTCATAGACGACTCATGTGACAGGTCATGTGACGCATTGCTACTATAGACTCGCGAATTCATGAGGATGCGCGATTGGAAAATGCGGGGGAGAGGGGGAAATCTTACTCGAGATTGTTCGAGGATTTGAAGTATAATAATTTGATTATTTAAACTCCCAAGGTTTAAACTTAATCCTTTATTTAGAAATATTAGAATACATTTTAAACGACTGAGGAAAAATCATTTTTTCAAAATATAATTTGTATGAATGAGATTGTCCATTGATAAAAAAAATCTCAATCATCGAAAATCTTCGAATCTATATTCTTAATACTGTATAAGAAACTTAATATTAATAAGTTTGACAAAAACTTATAAATCCTAATTTATTAATTCATCATTCACTCATATTTGGTACAAAAGTGGCGGCAACATAGTCATAAATATAAAATTCTTAAACTAACTATTCTCTATTCAATTTGGCATTAGGTTTGTCTAGTCTGCTCGAACGTTGGATTGCTGAAGGTCGTCGTCGACGGTTTGTAAAGCGGGTTTTCATCCTAAAAGTCGTAAAATCGTGATCAAAAGACGTGTCAAAAGATTTTTTTACACCTGCACAAAATGAAGGGATGACTCACTCTTCCCCATTTGGCCGAAGACCTCTCCTTCTCGAATTTCGCGTACTCCTTCCTGTCGTGAATAGTAGTGAGGACTTTCCAGATGAGGAGACCCAACAACCCTAGAAGGACAGTGGCAACTACGACGCCAATGGCAACCCCCAGAACAGGCACTGGCTCGGGACATTTTTTCGTTCTCTCGACAGTTATATTGTACAGCTTCTGGTCACCCCCTTCTCGGAGGAGGGCGTACTTGAATGCGAATGTGCAACCGTCTTCTGAGGGCACCCAGCACATGCGAGTGCCCGCTGCATGCTCTTCTCTACTCGTTACAACTTTATCTACCTGAATATGACGAGAGGAGATGAGATGAATTCAGTAGTGAAGTGGTAAACGGAAATAAGTCGACTTATCTCCCAGTTGAGTTTTTGAGGAATATTTCCGAATCTAAGGGAGATAGCGAAATTTTCGTAATCACATTTGTTGTAGCACTTAATTGGATCAACAAAAAAGGTTATGACAGAAATTTTGCTATCTCCCTTAGATTCCGAGATATTAATTGAAAACTGGTCAATAGTCGAAATTGACTTATCTCCTTTTACCACTTCGCTACTGAATTGTTCATATAATTAATATTGGGGTTAATTAATATTCATCTTCATGGTTGACTAGATCGAACGGGCGCGACCACACGGAGAGAAAAATTCAGTAGCGAAGCGGTAAACCGGGTTAAGTCCATTCTGACTATTGGCCAGTTTTTGACGAATATCTCGGAATCTAAAAGAGATGGAGAAATTTGTGTTATAACCGTTTTTGTAGAGCCAATTGAGGGTTATAAAAAAGGTTATGAGAAAAATTTTGCTATCTCTCTTAGATTCTGAGATATTAATCAAAAACTGGCCAAAAGTCAAAATCGACTTAACCCGGTTTACCGCTTCGCTACTGAATTCAATAAAAATGACCAGAAAAAATACGTAAAAATTATATTTCGAAACGTAATCCGCGAGCGAAGTAAAATTCAGTAAAAAGTGTGAGTCGGAACTGAAATTGTACGAATCGCCACGTAAATTCTACGATTTGTTCCGTAAAAATGAACCACTCGTCTGAGGATTCACCGCTGTGGGGACAACAAGTCGTTCCGTAATTTTTCCCCAACGATTGAGAAATTTTACGGAACGGAACGTAAAAAAAACTCACCAGCTTCATAAAAATTGTTGAACATTAAAGAATTCTTTATTTTGGAGGCATAATAAGTCGACGTGGCAATTTCGTACTTTGTTCGGTGATAAACCTGAGAATTCACTGAACTTTTCAGATTTCTTCTCTTCTATTCCTATGAAAACTTTTTCAAAGTATTCTCCGAAAACTTAGCTAAGAGCTCAGTCGATTTGAACCGTTTTACCGCTTCGCTACTGAAATGAAAACAAAATTCATCTAATTTCCATTTTACTTACGAGATAAACTTCGTCATCGCATCCACCGCAATAGTCCTTAGCTTTTGGTCCAGTTTTGTATGCGAGACACTCCACGCAGTCTTTTAAAAGATCACAGTCACTTCCGGAACATGCTTTGGGGTCCTAAGAGGCAAGAATAGAATAGAAAGTCAGCTGTTGTAAACGAAAAGTAACTTTTCCTTTACGGAATTTACTTTTCGTTCACTATCGTCTTACAAAAAGTGCCACTTTTCGCGCAAAAATCAGTGAAGGAAAAGGGACTTTTCCAAGCACGAGTTTCAAAATAGTATATTTCGTAACGAGTGCAAAAAAGTGTTCCACGAGCTAAAAAATATTTTTTTCACGAGTTACGAACAATATTTTTCATCACAATGTGGCGGAAATTGGACTTTAAGTACGCGGAGCGTGCGGAAAAGTTCACTTTTCGTCACAGCGTGATGAAAAAAACTTTAACGTTGGGGCAATGTTAAAACACATCATCGCCCACCCGGAAAAATATATATTCTGAACGTTATATATTTTATATATGGAATTGGCCTGATTTATATATCAAAGTTATATAAAATATAAATTTCTGTTTCATATATATATTTTACATTTTAATTGTAATTTTATAGATTTTTATATAGAAGATAAATTTATAATCTTTGTATTAATTTAAAATATAATATATTTTTTTAATTAATATAAAGTGTCATATATATTTTATATAAATCTTATATATATTCGAAGAATATGTTACATTATATACATTTTTTACATATTTTTTCACGAGGGCATATAAATTCAATTCGAAAGCAAATGGATAATTAATTATCAAAAATATTCCAACTATGCTGTGACGAAGGCAATTTCACCTGTTTCTCCGCGAATTATGACATAAAAATATTGATAACAGAATGCTCACCTCGCAATAAGCATTTTGACAGAATTCCCCCGAATAAATACTCGGTGGATTGCAGAGGCATTTTCCACACTTGCACTCTCCCCGACCGCTGCAAATCTCGGCGTTCTTCCCAGGCGGTAAACAAGCATTGTCCCTGCACTCACAGGCCTCACCGCTCCATCCCCGTTGGCACCTGCACGTGCCGCAGTCACACCGGCCATGATTATTACAAATCTTAAAGAAACATTCACAGAAACAAGTGGTTTTAAAGCCAACTATCTACCAAGTGAGAGGTGTAAACTGCTCCCAGCGTTTCTCTGCACCTCATCATTTTCCGTGGATTACACATGTATTATACGCACCAGATGACGACCGCCTTCGGTTACACGGTTGCAGGAGAAGTTGTTGCACTCGCAGTAGTCACCGTAGTATACTTTATCTCCCGATGAAAGTTTGCTGCATTGGCAAGTGCCGCATATGCATACATCGTGACCACTGCAGTCGACTGTATGATTTGCCGCTCGACAATTTTTCACTCTGTTTTTCCTGGTGGCGGCATCGTCGTCACCGCGACAAACGCAAGCCTCATCGTAGTAGCCACTCGGACAGGAGCATACGCCGCATATCAATGCACCTTTGTGGTTGCATTCTTTGGCTCCGGTAATATGACCCTTTCATAAATTCAGATGGAGATGTTCAGCACTTTTAGATATTTCTTGAAATTTCAGACAGAAGCATCCACAAGGGATTCTGAATTTTCAATGGGAGTTTGAATTCAATTTCGAAGGAAAACCGTCACTCAATTTCTCATTCATCTTGAAAATTCAAGAAAATTGGGTTCTCGTGTTAAAGAATCATTGATTTTTCAATGAATGCTTGAAATTTTTAACAACCACAAAGTTACATGAAATTTCGGCAGATTTCTTCATTAATGAATCAGTTAATTTTTTATGAATATCCAAGTAATTCTCGATTTTCAGATCTATGCGGCACTGAAAAACGTCGAAAATTTTGCAAATTCGGAAAACTCTGAATTTCTCAATCTATTGAAAATTCACGCTTTCATTGCAAAATTAATGATTATTTAACATGAAAAACCCAATTTAATTGTCTTGAATTTTCAAGATGGATGAAAAATTTAGTGAACACTTTCATTTGAAAGTGAAGTCAACCTCGCATCATCGAAAATTCTAATGACACTGTGACTGAAATTTCAAAAATTTCTAACAATGTGGTTTCATTCAAATTTCAAGCAATGGAAAAATCAATGGAGAATGTAAATTTCTGCTCAATTATTCCATGAAAATTGATAGAAATCAGGAATATTCAGCGTAATTTGGTACTGAATATTCATAATCGGATTGAAAAGTCAAGTAATTTGGGGAATCCCCGTCTCCCCAGCTAAAAAAATCCCAATTCCATTGAATTTTCAGTAAAATCTGAAATTTGTGGATTTCTCTCTCTTAAATCAAATTAAATATCACTCTCGGGAAAATTACTAATCAATTGTCCATGAAATTTATATTTTCTTAACAATGTCGTTCATTAAACACATTATCAACCATTTTTGGCTGAAATTTCCGGTACGATTCTCTGACATCATAATTCTCCTGAGATTTCAATGAATTCCGTCATTAAAAATTCAAAATTTTATGGGCAAATGAATGAAAGCTGTAAATTGTAGTTCAGTTATTCCATAAAAATTTATAGAAATTCGGAAAATTCACATGAATATATTCCTTAATCTTCAAGTAACTTCAAGTCTCTATCAATATATCAATTTCAATCTTAATTGTTATGTATCAATCTCATTAGAGCGGATTTATTTATTTTTTTAATCCACGCGGTGATTAACATCTCCGTTCAGGCTTAGAAAGGCATTTTATCAATCGAATAACGGAACAAAACACACAAACAGGCAAATATATCAGGAAGAGGGAAGAGAATCAGTAAATTAAACATTCGATTCTGTTGCAATATTATTTAGCTTTTCTACTTACTGGATGCCCCGGATGATCACATGGACACCCACACATCAATTCATAATCAATTGTAAGATTCTCCTTCAATCCCTGGGGTCTAATCAAGAACGACCCCTTCCATAGTTTTTCATCAGCAGGACATTCCGTGGCAGTCACCACAATATCAAACTCCACGACGTCACCGTAGTGGAGACCATCGCAGAAGTTGGTCTCCTTCTCACCAGCCCCACTCAGACATGACGATGAGTACTTGATGTCGATGAAGTCTGGGGCTGTATCGATTAAGGTGACTGACGTCACTAATCTCTGATCAATTAATTATTCAAGTTATTCACAAATGTTTTTACATGAAAGAAAAATTCATTTGTGCCAAAATAATTTGTTTGATATACAAAAAAATTACAATTTACAATTTAATTTTTAATAAATTAAATTTTATTTAAAGTAAATGACAATTAAACAATTTTTTTTTACAATTTAATTTTTAGTAAATTTAATTTAATTTCAATTAAATTGTCTATATGTACGGAAACAATTTTTTTGTACGTCAAACAAATTACGAATTAATTAATTAAGTTAATTTAAATTCATTTGAATTTAATTAATTAAATTTAATTTGAATTAACTTAATTAATTAATTAATTCATGAAAAATGAATTTAATTTAATTTATCAATTGAATTATTTGCGTAATAAATTAATTTATGCTCATTCATATTGATGAATCACCTTGTATTCATCCTGGATCAGCTGTATAACAGCAGATCTATCATGCTTCTCAATAATCCCAACGGCTGAGTCCTGAATCCCTTGACTCAGCATCTGATAAGTTTCATTTTTACCTGCGGGCACTGCGAAAACCACGTGAATGTTGTGATCGCGAGCCTGCTTGTTTATTTGGGCGAGGGATGGGTAGTCCTGGAGGAGGGAGTGGGTGTAGGTTCCCGTTGGATCCAAGTGGCATTGACAGTCGTTTGGTTCTATTATCCCTGCAAGCTTCATTCAAACAGGACATTAATGCCTAATCAATTGTGGACGTCCGCATGAAAGGGGAGCACTTTGGCACTATTGGAGTTATGTATATGCCAATAATCTTGATCTGATTCTGCAAATTTAGAGCCAAAAATGAACTTGACAGCGTAAAGAGTGACGACGCTATAGACGATCGAAATAGTATATTTCGTAACGAGTGCTAAAAAACATTTTTTCATCACGCTGTGGCGAAAAGTGGACTTTTAGGCACGCGGAGCGCACTTTCCGGTACATTGTGATGAAAAATATTGTTCGTAACTCGTGAAAAAATATTCTTTGGCTCGTGGGATTATATCACGAGCCGAAGGCTCGCCTTCGGCTCGTGATATAAACCTCCCACTCCCCAAAAAACACTTTTTTGCACTCGTTACGAAATATACTATTTCACGAGTTACGAACAATATTTTTCGTCACAGCGTGATGAAAAAATAATTCAACATGGGTTTAAATGGGAGTTGGCAAGAGAAAAACGTGAATATCTCGGAAAATAGAATCGACAAAGTGGTCCCTTTTCATGCGGACGTCCACAATTAGTCATAATCAACAACTCAATGGCTTTTCGTTCGCTTTGTGCGAATGTTTTCCCGAAAATCAGTGGACTTACTCGGCCATCACCAGCCATGTGGGAACTAGCGTCTGTGGAGACGACGAGAAGATGTCGTGCCTTCTCGTTCCAACCGATTCGCTCAGTGCAGACCATGGCCTGCATCATGGCGTCGAAGCCTCCTTCCGGGGCGTCCAGGTTACCGGAAATAGGAGCTTCCTTCACTTTTCTCTATACACGTGGACAGAAATATTCAATAAAATTACGTTTTTTTTCCGTAATTCCGGAGCGAAATGTGGTTGTAGGAAATTTTACAGAACTGTCACGTAATTTTTATATAAAATCACGGAATTTTTCCAGGGCGTTCCTTAATTTTTACATGAATCTCCTGTGAAAAATTACGATACCGTCGCTTAAATTTTCTGAGTCGATTTCGTAATCGGTGAACGAACTGGGAGTTCCGTAATTTCTACTGAACATTTCTCTCCGTGCAAAACAATTCAGTAGTGAAATGGTCAATCGGTTTCAGTCGACTTAGCTTCCAGTTGGGTTTTTGGTGAATAACTCGGAATTTAAGGAAGATTAAGGAATTTAAGGAAGAAAATCACGGAATTTTTCCAGGGCGTTCCGTGATTTTTACATGAATCTCCTGTGAAAAATTACGATACCGTCACTCAAATTTTCTGAGTCAATTCCGTAATCGGTGAACAAACTGGGAGTTCCGTAATTTCTACTGAACATTTCTCTCCGTGCAAAACAATTCAGTAGTGAAATGGTCAATCGGTTTCAGTCGACTTAGCTCCCAGTTGAGTTTTCGGTGAATAAATCGGAATTTAAGGAAGATAGCGAAATTTTTGTAACATCCTTTTTGGAAGTCTTCACTTTTCTTTACAAAAAAGAATTTTAGGAAAATTTTGCCAACTCCTTTAGAGTTTGAGATATTCATCGACAACTGGCGCTAGAATGGAATCGACTTAAACAGTTCGACCACTTCACTACTGAATTAATAAAATTTCCAAGAAAATACAATTTTTGTGAGAATAATTCTGCGATCAATCCTTCTCGTTAAAAGGAGTATTACTCACTGTGAATAATTTATCATCGTCATTCAGAGGCAGTTGATGTTTATAGCCGTAAGGGGGTGCACAGCCATCACATGGTTTGATCAGTCTGAAACAGAATAGAAATACAAAATATATCCTGATTATTGCCAATGGAAGTCGACGTGTCCTCGGGGAAAAGACGATTATTCCGTTATTTACGAGGCGATTAATTTTTTTAGTATTCAATGAAATTCAATTTTCACGTCCATACGACGATGAACATCAGATTTCATTGTCATCGAAGATTTTTTTATTCCTTAATTTTTTTTATCACGCCTAAATTTTTAATTAAAATAGTCCGTGATTAATTAATACGTCCATTCAAATTAAAGTTCGTCAATGAATTATGAATGCCATTACTTGGCGGGTGAAGTGTCCGTCATAGGAAGAGCCACTTTATCAACGAAACTCCCAAATCCAAGTTTAAATTTAGATGTCAAATTCCTCATAGTGGTAGCCAGCTCCTCCCCCAACTCCGACAAGTGTTTTCTGTACTCTCGCATCGACGCGGAGAGGTCCATGAGGTAGTACATGTCCACCGGGTTATCCTCAGCCTGAGTGTACCTCAGCTTCAACCGAAACTCCTCCTCTAGATTAAAGAATCATAAATATGAAGCAGGAATGAGCATTTTCCCAAGGATATTGAAAGCACTGTTCAAAATTTTTAGCTGAAATTTCCTGTACACTTCTTCCAAATTTTTATCGCATTTTAGTTCCACGACAATTGCAGTTAATTTCGTAATTGAAAATTCATGGAAAAATTAATGAGAACTTGAATTTTAACTCAATTATTCTATGAAAATTAATAGAAAGCAATAGAATTTCGAAAATGCAATGTAATTTGGCACTGAATGTTCATGTTTTCGTTGAAAATTCAAGTAATTTGACGAATTCTTGTCTTGACGCTTCTGAGAAATTTGAAATATCAGTGATTTTCCAATAAAATCTACAATTTCATCATTTTTTCCCCCCAAATCGTATTCAACGGCGCGAAATTTCAATTTTTTTCAAACAGCGCGTTTCTCCTCGCCCCCCATTACGTTTTCTGAGCTTCAGGTGGATCTTCTGTGGCTGCACTTGCACGGGCTCTCTCCCCTTGATCGACGACAGTGAGTCATTCCTCTCTACTGCGACTGAGGAGACTTCGTCAATGATTTTATGGCCGAAACACCAGTCTCTCCCTTCTTGCATTCGTTCCTCGTGAATTCTTCTCGGTATGCAACGAGCTGGCAGTACGTCAGATGCATTCAACCCCTAAAAATATTTTCATCATCCCTCGGTCAGACATTCGAGAAATCTTCATTTTTAGTTAAATGAGTCAATTGCAAATCCAATTATTTGTTTTCTTGAAGTCAAGAAAAAAAAATTCACCATCTGCAAGATTTTTTCAACTCCAGTGTCTTCTGAAGTTAAAATGAATATTAATATATTCCGTTAAGTTATGTAAATTTTATTTATAATTTTATTCAATTCTCTTATTTTCTAAAAATTGGGTAGAAATATAAAATTTGAGGATTTTTTCTCCAGTGAAATCCTTTTATACTTTTGGGGCTTTCATTTGAGCCCCATTTAACGCTAAATTTCCGGACCTTTAACAATGATTTTATTTTTTAAATTTTGCAGATCTGACCTTGAATCTTGATATTGAACCATTAGAAAACATTTTAAAAATCTGAAAAAAAAATTAGGAAGTTTACCTTTGGCGGAAGATTGATAAAAAATTGTAATTTTAGAAAATTCCGAGGATTTTCTATAAATAAATGATAAACAATCAATTTTTCACCACAAAAGTCATTTGTTCAGAGTCGTAACACATTTATTCATATTCAGAATTTTACCAGAAATCGATTTCAAGCCTAAAAAAATAAGGTTTCCGAAGGTTTAAACAATTTCAATTATTTATTGATAAACAACGAATGTTTAAAAAAATAATAATTCTGTGCAAAGTGGAATTTCAGTGACACTGAATATTCATATTTTTTTTCAAATATTTCTCACGCAATTTAATTGACTAATTAGATGATTGAAAATGGTTGAATCCAAAGCGTGAACTTCATAAATGAATTCCTTTCACACCAACTATTAAAAAAAATGAAATAGTGACGAAATAATAAACAACCGAAGAATTATCTCAATACAGCGACTAATAAAATTTTAATTTCATTTAATGTAATTTCAATGACACTGAATATTCATATTTTTTTCAAATATTTCTCACGCAATTTAATTGACTAATTAGATGATTGAAAATGGTTGAATCCATAGCGTGAACTCCATAAATGAATTGCTTTCACACCAACTATTTAAAAAAATGAAATAGTGACGAAATAATAAACAACCGAAGAATTATCTCAATACAGCGACTAATAAAATTTTAATTTCATTTAATGTAATTTCAATGACACTGAATATTCATATTTTTTTCAAATATTTCTCACGCAATTTAATTGACCAATTCGATGATTGAAAATGATTGAATCGATAGTGTGGTCTGTACCAAACTGTAAAAGATACTTGGATATCCTTAAATTGGTGAAATTAGATCACAAGAAAACGTGACTAATTGATTGATCACTCACTGTGGCCGAGCACCACACACACGAGGGTGTCTTGATGCAGCTGGAGCACTTCCGCTGTGCAGCGCAATCCACCACGTCCCGATCTCCATCCTCCCCCGCGGAATTCCCCAAAACACTTAACAAAACAATCACAAATCCCGAAATCCTCATTTCTGGAGGTATCCAACCAAATGACTTCATAAATCGAGAGAATTAAATCAATGTGAGCTCGACGTGCTGGCTGGAAGGATACTGCGGCATCCCGCGGAAATGACTCCACAGAGATAAGTCAACGCTGCGTCATAACACAATTATTATTCGCTCGGCGTTTTTCCCCTCGGCCTGAGGATTACGTGGACATTTATTTCTAGTTTCAACAGGCCTTCGATTTTCTATTTAAAAATATTTTTATGCGAAAAATTAGCGTATTCGCATATCGATTCTTCAGGATCCATGAAAGAGGAGAATAATTTAACAACTAATGCAACAATTAAGTCACATGAAAAAGAAATTTATTAAAGAAAAATCAACTATTGCCCCTGAAATTAGTAATAAGCATTATTGAATTAGTGAGTGCAACAATAATATTGGATTCAATCAAGAGAAAAAGGCAATTAAAAAATGAATGAAGTCATTTCCACGAATGGAAATTCAATTTGAAGAAATTTCAGAGTGAAATTCACATGACAAAAAGTATTTTTGAATCAAAAGTATAATATGCTGAACTAATTAATATCAGTACTTACTGCAACGCATTAATTATTACTCAAATTGATTGATGATAGTTAATAATATTTATTCATGAATAAGTCACTAACAATAATCGCTGATAGAATCAAGAAAACAAAGCAATCTAAGAGTTAATGGAATAATTTCCAACAATAAAAATTGAACGTAACAAATCCGTAAACTTCACACAACATAAAAAATATTTATCAATCAAAAATACATTACATTAAACTAATTAACATGCATACTAATCAATTGATCTAACAACAACAATTAGCAGAAAAAATTGAGCCATCTCCGCAAATAAAAATTCCATAATCATCTCCCACAATTACCATATTTAAACGTTAAACACTTCAATAGATTGCTCAGAGCATTACTCACCCATCGGATTACTCACTCGAACTTTAAATTTAAATAACGATACGTGCGATGGATTAATCACGCCGATGACTCCAATAAATCAGCCCGACCCCTCGACATCTGAAAACCTTCGCAAGGACTTCATTCAAATTTTCGAACTCTCAAGGTCGTGAAGGTCATGACCCCTCGACGCTACAACTGGCTGAAGGTAAGACCCCCCAGATTATCACTTGCCCACTGACCCCTGCATTATCGACAGCAGTCGAGATCCGCCGCCCGTTTGGGGTAGCCTATAGTATATTTCGTCATTAGTCAAAAAAAAAATATTCTAGCAAATATGAGTTTCTGCAATGTTATGAGCTAGAAAAAATTTTTGCGGCCGTGTGACAAAAACACCTTAGATTCCAACCAATCAGAGCTAGGCATCCAGAATCTCTGCATTACCGATCGAGATGCATGGCTGTGATTGGTTGAAATTGAAGGTTGTTTTTAGAATACCCTAAATGCGAAGAATTTCAGCCCTGTTCATAGATTTCCACTTAAAACCATTTTTTTCATCACACTGTGACAAAAAGTGAACTTTTCGGCACGCTCCGCGTGCCTAAAAGTCCAATTTCCGCCGCATTGTGATGAAAAATATTGTTCGTAACTCGTGAAAAAATGTTTTTTGCACTCGTTACGAAATATACTATTTTGGAGATATGCTCACGATTTGAAAAGCAAATAATTGAATCTAATTAAACTCGTATTCTCACCCTTCTTCATCACTACTGAATAAAATAATAATATAATATTATATTATATATTATAATATATTATTATATTATATAATAGTAAGCAATCGTTCTATTTTTAGATTTTCTCATTTTAATCAATCATATAATATAATATTATATTAGTATATTTCGTAACGAGTGCAAAAAAGTGTTTTTTGGCGAGTGGGAGGTTTATATCACGAGCCGAAGGTGAGTGATATAATCCCACGAGCTAAAAAACATTTTTTCACGAGTTATGAACAATATTTTTCATCACAATGTGGCGGAAATTGGACTTTTAGGCACCCGGAGCGTGCCGAAAAGTTCACTTTTCGTCACAGTGTGATGAAAATAATATAATATTCTATTATATTATATGATTCATTAAAACGAGAAAATCTAAAAATAGAACGACTGCAATGTTTCTATTCAGAAGTAAAAATGCATTATTGATATCCCCAAATAATTTATTGCAATATGAAAAATTAACAGTTGATAAATTGGACACACAATTCCCATCCGTCGTGTTGCTTTCTCCACTGAGAATGATTATAAACAATTAATTTAAAAAAGAAATATCGAATCTGGCAGGACAAAGGCATAATGAAAGGGCATCAACAGCGTCAGTTCATTCAAAATTTCGACCTCACAAGGTCGTCAAGGTAATCGGCCCTCAGCCGTCCCAACCCTCGAACACCACTTACCCTCCGAGTCCTCCATTGCCGACCGCATCCCAGTACCGCCCCCAACCCCGTTAATCAACCCACAACACGTAGTTGTTGAGTACAATGTACATACCTCAAAGAATTTGACTCACGTAGTGAATAATCCCGAATGGCGCATGCACGGCTCAGCTGGTATGTGATCAAGGCGATATATCGCCCAGTGTAATAATGCATTTTTACTGTGCTTTTAACGTATTAACCAAGTGCTGGACGCTGCATTGTTGTTAACGGGTGAGTTATCAATGATCTAGGATTAATCGAGGGGCTTGTGGCTTCGATCGAGCACGAGCTACGCCAGTGTTTCTTTTGTCGGAGGGGCACCCCTCGTAGCACCTGCCATGAGACCCACCTAACTTGCCTCGCTGTCAGCCCCACAATGATCTGTCATGAAAGCATTATTTCATGTCAAATAACTCCGCAGTATTCCAATTGCCATTCGCTATTCAGAGTTTTGTGGTTCGGGGGATTTTAGTGTGTGCTGTGGCTCATTGTTTTGTACTGGTGGGTGCCCAAGAATGCAAACAATCTGCTCGTAGATGCCTAAAAAACAACTTTATCACTGGCATAATTTACAAAAATAGTACATTATTTATAACCACTGAATTATTTATAAACTCGTCACGTTATTTTATTTATTTTTCTTCAGAATCATGGACCTTGATGACACACTCACAGTGGTTAAACAATGATTAGTACTTAATTGAATGATTAATAAGGAGAGACGGGATTTGTGAACTTTTTTTTCCGGGGTTTTACCATTGTTTTCGGTTTTAAATGTGCCACAAACGGAGGTGGACACACGAGAACAGCTGGGACTGCTACGTGTCATTGGTATTGATTTTTTGAGGATTTTTTGGGGGTGATTTGGAGTTTATTTATTTCGGGGGGGGAGCATGGATTTGATCGGGGATGAGGACAGGCGGAGACGCCTCAGAGCACTCGAGGAGAGGATCAAGGATCCCAGGAGTGTCTCCAATATCGATTGTCTGCTGGATACTGTGCAGGCACTTGTTGCTGATTGCGAGCATCCCAGTGTCAAGAGGATGAAGAATATTGAGGCTTATATGAACAGATGTAAGTGCAGATTTTTAATCCGGGGGAATTAATTCAGGGTATTTCAGGGGTCTTGATAAGTACGTGATTGTCTTGGGGACAAGTGGGTCTGGAGGTAAATGTCAGGAATTATCAAGACTACAGCTTTTGTTGGAGATCTAATGAGCTCCTCAAAATTCCAATATTTTTACTGGAACTAGTCTTGTTCGAGATAAAAGGGAATTTGTGAAACAAAAATTGACTTGATGAACTGAATTAATCACTCGTTTTCTTCCCTTTTATCCCTAGTTATCTTGACAATTATTGTTACTGGAATTTGGAATTGTAAATTCCAACTGGGAAAAAGAGAAATTTAATTTTCTCCAATTAAACCCCTGTTTTCATTCTTCTTCATCATTACCGAATCCCTAATTATCTCCAGAAATATTCCCCATATAAATGCGCAATTATCAAAGTTCTTCTGACATTTTTCTTAAAACGACTCGTTTTTAAATCAAAATTACATAAACCAAAAAAGGCACTCATTCATAAACCTCAACCCTATTAGTCATCACTCATCTACTCCCCTTTTCACCTCGTTAAATCTCTAATTATCGTGACAATGAATGGTTTCGCCAGAAAACATCACAAGTCATTTTTGTATAAAATTGAATTCTTTATAAAAAGAGAACTCTGGACATTTTCCTCCAAAACCTTTCGTTTTCGAGATAAACGAGAAAAAATGACTGATTAATCCTCCATTGTCTCCTTTCTTCATTCCCATTAACCCCTAATCATCTCTATCAATTCTCCCAAAATAATTCAAATTACACAAACAAAAAATCTACTCAATCATGAACTTAATTAATCCCTCATTGTCTCTCATTTTCACTTTCTCAAAAGGCCAAGTATCCCTACAATGAATTGAAACCATTAACAGTCATTTTCACTAAAAATTTAATCCTTAAAAAAAAGGACTTGCCATTTCTCCCTAAAACCATTGATTTTCGACCTAAACTCACAATTACCAAAACCAAAAAAAAAATAAAGACCCTCCACTCAAATAACTCCTCAGTCTCACCCTCGTCCCCCCTAATTACCTCCAAAAGCTCCCAAAATAACCCCACAATTGCAAACTGAAAAAAAATGCACCACTGATATTCCCAAATGATCTCCCTCAACGCAGATGACTCAGTGGCGCAAGAAATCTGCAAAATGCGAATGCGCACAGACGACTTCACCCTGATAAAAGTGATCGGTCGAGGTGCCTTCGGCGAGGTACAACTAGTCAGACACAACTCCACCCAGAAGGTTTACGCAATGAAGCTGCTCAGTAAATTCGAGATGATAAAACGCTCTGACTCTGCCTTCTTCTGGGAGGAACGAGACATAATGGCGCACGCAAACTCCCAGTGGATTGTGCAGCTCCACTTCGCCTTCCAGGACCAGAAGTACCTCTACATGGTGATGGACTACATGCCAGGGGGCGACCTGGTGAACCTCATGTCGAATTACGACGTCCCTGAGAAGTGGGCGAAGTTCTACTGCGCTGAGGTCGTCCTCGCCCTGGACGCCATCCACTTGATGGGATTTGTTCACAGAGACGTCAAACCCGATAACATGCTTCTGGACAAATATGGACACCTGAAGCTTGCGGACTTTGGCACCTGCATGAGGATGGATACTGATGGCTTAGTGAGGTCTGACACTGCTGTGGGAACTCCTGATTACATCTCTCCAGAGGTTTGTCAAGTATTTCAGTAGCGAAGTGGTCAAACGATTGAAGTTGACTTGGCTCTTAGCTGAGTTTTCGAGGAATATCTGCAAATCTAAGGGAGATAGCGAAATTTTCATGGATATCTTTTTTGAAGTTCTCAATGGGCTCTACAGAAAAGGTCATGACAAAAATTTTGCTATCTGCCTTAGATTGCGCGATATTCAGTGAAAACTCATGAATAGTCAACATTAAACCGTTTGACCACTTCGCTACTGATTTCATAATAATTTCGATTCATTTTTATGATTTTACGAAACAGTTTCTTTGTTTTATATCTTCACAAGAATGCTCAAGCTAGATTTTTCTTTGATAAATATATTTTAGTATAGAATTCGATCTTGACTAATTGAAACAGAGTTAATTAAAATTTAAATATGAATTCAGAAGAAATTTTATGGAATTGACATTATCTAATTATTGAGGGGAGGAGGAGGCCTACACAGATGTAAAACAAAGGAAACGTTTGTTACGCCAAAGAGATGAATTAATAAATAATAATATTTTACTATTGTTAATATGACATAGCGGAGTCATAATAGTAAAATTGTAGTTTATTATAATGTAATTTCGTGTTGTAAAATGAGATAAATTCTCATTTTATTTCACTGATTTTGATTTAAATAGATAAGAATCATTCATTTTTAAGCACTTTGCAGAACACAATATTCACAATGATGTCTTTTATGTGAATTTTATGAAGAGAATGGAATATTTAAATGAAGTTTAAGCAGAAAACTCCAGTTGAGTCGTTGAGTGTGGCAGGAAAAACTTATTCAAAATGCAAAAAAAAATTATTCATCATTGATAATTTTATTACTATAAAATCCAACTTTGATGATTATAAGAAATTAGCCCATTATTTCATTCTAAAAGCAGGAGAGTCTCCTTCTGGACATGAATTCCATAATTTTTTCAAGATTTTGATCTTCACCCTAATCTCATAAACTAATTATTACCAACAATTACAACAAAACAACAGGTCAAAAATTCCACCAGAATATTTGCATCCCCATCACATGTCATCGAAAATTTCCTTCACATTTTAATCTTCAAAATGAGCCTCATCCAACCTTGAATCCCTCCAGGTCCTCCAGTCCCAAGGAGGTGAAGGAGTCTACGGCCGAGAGTGCGACTGGTGGTCAGTGGGAGTCTTCCTCTACGAGATGTTGGTCGGCGACACTCCATTCTACGCCGACTCCCTGGTGGGCACGTACTCCAAAATAATGGACCACCGAAACTCCCTGCACTTCCCCCAAGAGGTCGACATCTCCCACTCAGCCAAGAGCCTGATCTGCGGTTTCCTAACGGACAGGACAAACCGCCTGGGCCGAAACGGTGTCGAGGAGATAAAAACCCACCCCTTCTTCAAAAACGACCAGTGGACCTTCGACAATCTCCGGGAGTGCGTGCCCCCAGTGGTCCCCGAGCTCTCAGGGGACGACGACACGAGTAATTTCGACGACGTCGACAAGGAGGACACCCCCGAAGAGAGCTTTCCAGTGCCAAAAGCCTTCTCCGGAAATCACCTGCCCTTCATAGGATTCACATACTCCGGAGACTACCAATTACTGATCAATAAAACTGGCAAGGAGGCCGTGGATGGCATCAGTGGAATTCTCGACAATCACATTAACAACGGGGGAGTGACGATAACCAGTGATGAGCACAAGATATCGCAGCTGGAGAGCCTGCTGGAGCGTGAGAGACGACAGGTGGAGACTCTGGAGGCGCGTCATCACGCCCTGACGAGTCAGATGGAGGCGATAACCAGGAGGGAGAGTGAGCTGAGGGGCGAGGCTGCTAGGGCTGACAAGGAGCTGACTATTCTCAGACATACGTACAAGGAGGTGCAGCGCAGGGTGGAGCACGAGACAGAGGCGAGACGAAAGGCTGAAAATCTCCTCGCTGATTTGAAGAAGAAGTTCGACGAGGAGCAGAGCAGGAGGCAGAGGGATGCCTCCAACTCGCACTTGACTTCGGAGAGGGTGTTGACTCTCGAGAAGCAGATCAAGGAGATGCAGAGCAAGCTGGAGAGGGAGACAGAGTCCGCCAGCAGGATGAGGAAACAGGCGACTGAGGTGACTGTTGCTAGGCAAACTGCCAAGCAGATGGCCAATGAGTTGCAGGCAGCTAGGGCACAGCTTCAGGCGCAGACTGACTCGCTGCAGCAGGAGGTGGCTAGTCTGCAGGGACAGTTGTCCAAGGAGCGCAGCTCGAGAACGCAGGAGGCTAATTTAACTGCGGAGTTGAAGTCCAGGCTGGCTGCTTTGTATGCCGAGCTCGAGGGCGCCAGGGAGAAGGAGGAGAAGGTCATGCTGGATAATAGGTTGCTTAATGAGAAGGTCTCGGCTTTGGAGAAGGAGGCCGCTAGCTTGACGTTGGAGCTCAAGGCTGCTCAGGCTAGGTATAATCAGGAGGTCGCCGCACATCAGGAGACTGAGAGGTCCAGGATGCTGTCCAAGGAGGAGGCTAATATGGAAGCTGTCAAGGGTACGTTTGGATTTTTTTTGGGGAGAATTATTTGGTGGTGAGGCGGAATTGTTTGGGGGGGTTAGGGGAACGTGGCGAGATGAGTTACCGGATTTTTTTTCCCGTGAAAAATCCCCTGGAATATTTTTCCCCTAGAAATTTTTCCCATAAAAAATCTAATTGACTTCTATAGCAAAACAAAATTAGCCACATTCTGTTAAAATTATCGATTTCATTAACTTTAAGATCATGAAAAATTGTTTTCTATCTTCCATCGTAATCGCGATATTTTTTTTTATGAACAATTGCGAATTGCGATTGTTTCATGAATAAAAATTGACAGTAAACAAATTTTCGGGAATTATATCGGGGATAAATTACAAGGGAAAAGTGTATTTAATGGTTTCTTGCCATGATTCGTCAATTTCGAGGTTTTTGGTAATTGTTTATTCATCTTGAAAACCAGGGATTTTAGATTTAAAAATTATGTTGACTTTTCTCCTGAAATTACTCATTATCAAGATAATTGAATACCAGTACAGAAAAAAAAAACTAAAATTTTTCATCCTCGACATTCTTGCTGATCCTTCATTTATCTTTTGATAAGCTCCTCTATTTACCTTTCGATAAATTGCTGATACAATTTCCGACAAAAAACATCTCCCATTACCTCCTAAAACCGCTCAGTATCGAAATAATTTCATTTTTATTCCAAATTCAATGAAACCAATGAGACAAAATATTGAATTAATATGTTTCACCACTTTATCACTGAATTTCGCCCATTTTCCGTCATTTGATAATCGTTATGTTCATTTCCACGCGGCAGGAGGATTAAACAAAACCATCAAAGGTACAAAACCATTGATAATCGTCTAATGAAACTATTCAATTGAACCCAATCAAATAATTGAGAGTTAATCCACTGTTTCTATTTCAATTTTCAACCTGGTGAACAATGAAAAACACAACTCTTACGTACGTACACCAAAATACAACTAAAAGTGCTTTTCACACCGTTTTCAACGACAAAAGTTCACTGATTGTTATCCATTTTCATGATTACCCCTTTATTCGTCAGCTCTACAAGTCAAGCTGAACGAGGAGAAGAGTGGACGACAGAGAGCTGAACTCCTAGCTCAGGAGAAGGAACGTCAGACGTCGATGCTCTCGGTTGACTACCGCCAGATCCAGCAGAGACTGCAGAAGCTCGAGGGTGAGCACAGACAGGAAGTCGAAAAAGTCAAAGGACTTCAAGGACAAGTCGAGCAGGAGCAGCAGAAGAGAGACATTCTCCAGGCGGATTTGGGGCAGCAAACGTCAGAAGCTGGAAGACTTCGGGCACGCGAGCAGCAGCTGCTCGGAGAAGTCAATCAACTCAGAGAGGCTAAAAGGCAGATTGACGAGGAGCTCAATACCCTCAAGACCCAGCGCAATGTCGACTTACTTCAGACTAAGGAACTGCAGGAGCAGCTGGAGGCTGAGGCGTACTTCTCGGTAACTAAATCAAATTATCAAATATATTTCTGAATGTTACCGAGAAAATTACGATTGCTATTGTATGACATTTCAATATTAATTATTGCTGTTTGTGTCAATTATTGTGGTGAGAATTCCATGAAAATCCAAAATATTAACATGTTTTAGTTAGTAGAGCTGATTACAAATATTTCTGGCTGACATTTCCGGTTCAGTTATTTGAAATTTTTATCAAATGACAGTTCCATTCACATTTTGGAAAATTTCGTCATTGTAAATACACAATTTGATACAAAAATCACTGGAAATTGTAATTTCGAGTTCAATTATTCGTCGAAAATTAATAGAAATCAGGAAAATAGTGGAAATTAATTAATTAATTATTTAAGTGGAAATTGAGCGTAATTTGGTGCTTATCATTAATGTTTTAATTGAAATTTCCTTTTTTCTGCGAAATTTGGAATTTCATGATTGTTTTTCTCCCTCAAATCGAATTCATAATGTTCCTCTTTTGAAAGTTACCACTAAACTCTCCTTGAAATTTCAATTTTTTCAAGCAGCCTCTATTACACCAACAGACTAACGCAACAAATTCCATCAAACATATTCCAAAAAATCAAATTTCAGAATCAAAAACATTAATAAACAATTCTCCACAAAAATTTAAAATAAAAATTTGACAAAAACAGTAATTAAACAGAGAATTCAAGAACTCAAAAGAGCAAAAAACTGTGACGAATTGTCCGAGTGATCTTGATTATAAAAAATCCCCATTACCAATACCAATCTGTAATATTCAGAATTAATACTAAAACTGTCTATCCCCTCATCTCTTTATTTTTCTTTTTTTTACCAAATCCTACTAAAAATTTGTTCCAATAATGTTATTCACACAGACACTGTACAAAACACAGACTCAAGAACTCCGCGAGGAGCTAGATGAAAAGACTCGTCTCCAGCAGGAACTCGAGGAGGAAAGAAGTTCCCTGGTGCATCAGCTGCAGCTGTCCCTAGCTCGAGGTGACAGTGAGGCCCTCGCCAGATCGATAGCTGAGGAGACAGTCGCTGACTTGGAGAAGGAGCGAACGATGAAGGAGTTGGAGTACAAAGACGGTCTTGTGAAGCATCACCACGAGTTGACAGCTAAAGAGCAGCTGTTGAATAAGATCAAGGACAGTGAATCAGAGCTGAAGAAGTCCGTTGATCAGTACCTCAAGGAGAAGGACGACATTAACAAGAAGCTGAAGGACCTCCAGGAGCTGCTGACAAAGTCCCAGGAGGAGATCGACAAGCTCAACGCCAGATTGAAGACAGAACAACTTCTGAAGCAGGAGGCAATCAGCAAGTTGACGCAGGTTGTCAGCAGAAAGGACTTCTCAGCAACGGGAAAAGCCAAGAACAAAGCTTCTTCAGCCGATCTCAGGAAGAAGGAGAAGGACTGCAGGAAGTTGCAGCAGGAGTTGACGCAGGAGCGTGAGAAGTATGGACAGTTGGCAGCTAAGTGGCAGAAGGATCTGCAGGATCTTCAGGCGCAGCTGGTGGAGGAGAACTCCTCGAAATTGAGACTGCAGATGGAGTTGGACTCCAAGGATTCCGAGATTGAGACACTGCAGATGAAGATATCGTCGATGAACTCGGAGACTGCCAGTGTTTCGTCCATTGAGAATGACGGAGATGACTCACTACTGCCTGATCATGGTGCCATGAGACTCGAAGGCTGGTTAAATGTCCCTAATAAGCAGAATATCAAGAGACATGGGTGGAAGAAGCAGTATGTCGTTGTGTCTTCCAAGAAGATCATATTCTATAACAGTGAGCATGAGAAGATGAATGCTGATCCTGTTTTAATACTCGATTTGAGTAAAGTTTTTCATGTGAGGTCAGTCACTCAGGGGGACGTTATTAGAGCAGACGCCAAAGATATTCCTAGGATATTTCAGGTAATTTTTTCAATTTTTTCATCAATTATTTATTTACGCCTTAAAAAAACAGGATGATTGAGAATTTCTCTGGAATCACGTCTTATTTATCAATAGCATTTGACATTAGTGTTGCATATGAAAAAATAAATGAGAAAAGCACTTGATGGGATTTTATTTTGTATTTGGTAGTTAATGTTGGCTCATTGGTTTTGGCTTTTTATGACAGTTGCTGTATGCGGGCGAGGGTGAAGCCAGACGTCCTGGTGACGAGAGCAATCCACTGCCGGGAGCTGAACTACCTCAATTGACTGACAAACCAGGGACACAGTCGGTCAAGGGACACGAGTTCATTTCTATTTCTTATCACATGCCAACAACTTGCGAAGTTTGTTCAAAGCAATTGTGGCACATGTTCAGACCACCACCTGCTCTTGAATGTCGAAGTAATTATGATTTTTTATTCTTACCAATTCATTTTGATAACTTCCATGCAGAGAAATGAAATTTTCAATGGTTTGAATTCAATTTGAGAATATATCATTCATTATTCATCTCAAAAATTTATCAACGTTTAGTTTTTCTTATTAAGTGATCGAATTTTTTAATTTATTATGAGAATTAAAAATTGCAGTCAATTGAATTACCAATAGAATTTTTACAATCATCAATAAATTTCTATTTTACAATTTAAAAAAATTTCCATTTGCCATCATTCCATTTTCGCTTGAAATTTCAAGAATAAACTCAAATCCAAGAATTATTTCGTACTTAAAATCAAATGATAATCACTTGAATCATTCGTTTGTCTTCTAGGATGTCACATAAAGGTTCACAAAGAGCACCTCGACAAAAAGGAAGATGCAATAGCCCCCTGCAAGCTCCACTACGACCCCAACAGTGCTCGTGAGCTCTTGTTACTCGCTGGCAATCCTGACGACCAGAAATATTGGGTTGCCCGGTTGTCCCGACGCATACAAAAGTGCGGATACAAAGCCAACTCCCACGTTGATGGGACAGGACAACGCGTATCGCCAAGGTAGCGTAAATTCGGCCAACAACAGGAACACCTAAGTAGCTCTTGTTTTGTGACAACGCATGATTGGGTGTAGCGAGGTTAGCCTTTGTTTTTGTCTTGTTTCGATCGAGATGAGTGGATCTGTGTGCATGCGAGCAAGGATTTTTCGTCAGTTTTTTTGTCTGCAGTGTTTACTGCTTCTGTCTTTTGCAGAGCTGGGCATTATTTCGTGAAAAAAAAACGTAATTCCATTTCACTATTTATTTATTTATTCTTGTGTCTAAAAGTGAAATGAACTGTATTTTTTTATTTCAATATTAGAAAGGATTCACAGCACTAAATTTACTGTTTTCATGACAAAAATTCGTCTTCAATTCAAATAATTTCACATAAAAAAGAATTTTCATCAACTATTCATCAAATTCATGAAAAAAGATCTGAAAAAAACGTAATTTCAATTCACTATTTATTAAATTTTGGTCTAAAAGTGAAGTCAATTGTATTTATAGTGTAAATCACTATTTCAATTAATTCAGAGTGCAAAATTCATATTTTCGGGACAAAAATTCGTCTCTATGTCCCAAAATTAAACATAAAACAGAATTTTCATTCATTATTCATTAAATAATAACGAATAATAATTGATATTTCACCCAGCTCTGGTCTTCTGCCTATTCGTAATGTGGCTTTCGGGTTGTTTATGCATTTGGGTGCTTACCTCCAAATAAAAATCATCACAATGCATAAATTCAATTTCAGGGAATCAACAAGATCAACGTTAAAACCTTACCTCTCTGTTCAACAGAGATCAGCAACGTTACCAGCTAATGCGAGTATGGGAAAATGACCTTAAAACTCACTTGTGATCTGTTATTAATCAGCATCATATTCTGTTCAGTGCTATTTAATCGAGTTATGAGAGACAGAATGATACTGATGGAATCTCAATCGCCAAAGGTACACAGATTAATCAGTGATACGAGTTGCACAGGAGCTCCATGGAATGATAAATTGTGAGGGCTCCAGAGAGGCTGGATAACCTGTGTACACCGAATCCATTTGATATTTGCCATTTAATCTCGAGTCCCCCTTGCCAAGTTCGAGAAAACAAATCAGTTCATTATTATTTTCATTTTTTCTAATTAACGTGACTACTTCGTCGTTTTCTACTAATGATTCAGCTGTTTTTTTTATTATTAACTTCCCTTTCGATAGGTAATGGGGAAGTTGAGAGTACACTCGTCAAACCCATTGTGTTTATGAATAATAATAAGTATCTTTTTCGATTAATAGAATCCTTCAAATTTCAAATCGTATAGTATTATTATTTTTATATGTAAAAAAATGTGGAGGAGAGGGAGAATTAACGTCGTGGTGTGATTTATTTTTAATGAATCATGTTGATGAATATGATCATTTGCATTTTCCCTCTTTTTATTGAATAATTGTACCTAAATTCAATCAAATGGAACAGGATCTCGATTCATGGGTGTTTTTTTTTACTGTACAAAACAAAGTGAATTAAGGTGACTTGCATACATCACCACGATGTCCTAGGATCTTGTTGTAATGTTACTGATTAGTTGAAATAAGTGAAGGATGAACAATCAATATTCGAAGATAATATAATTTTCATTGAGACGCGCATTAATTGACTAATTGATATGAATTATTACCTAAAAATGTGAGAAAACACATTCTCGATGTTTTCATTTTCTAGTGGTCGTAGAGATCAGAATTGTAGGGCCCATTGAATCAAGTGGTGCTAGTGGTTATTTTTTTTTTGCATCTGATTTATCGATGTAATTTGATAATAATTATTGGGGGTTTATTACTACAGCCTGTAATTGCTACTTGAGCAAGAAAATGTTAACCGACTGCTGCCCTGTGCCTTTTTTTCGTTTTCTTCCTCAATTTATTGGGGTTGAATTACCCTCTTTATATGGAAATTCTACAAATTTTTTTCTGTACTCTGATACAGTGAGATAATAAGCAAAGTAACTAGAGTAAATAATTGAATAAAAGAGAAAATAGTTATTATTATGTTGAATGATAAATAATTGTTACAACCTGTTTTCTCAATTTAATCGGTCAATCGATAATATTAACGAGAATATTCATGTGAAATGCGGTGAATCAAAGGTTTTTCTTAATTGTAAGAGATGATGACAGATGCACGGTGCTGCTGAGTCACGATGACCAACAATTTTCTAAGGTAAATTATTGATAAATTTAACGAGAGAAAGTGAAATCATGATGATGCGAAAAAATAAGAATGCAAAAAAACTTGTTACACCATATTTTATTGTTTAGTTATTTACAATCTGTATAATATCAATTATTATTACGATTAAAACTATTTTGTAGATAATATGCAAATTCTTTTTTCATTTGTATAATTAGCATTTTATGGATTTATTGGAAATTGTCGTTTGTTCGTTAATCACTACAGATTCAATATAATTCTCGGAGAAAGAAAAAAATGCTTCTCTACGTCGTTAATGCGACTAGGACTCACTGTAAACTCGTTAATTGGTGATGAAAGTCTCACGCGAAATGTATTACGTATTGATTCATTTTTTTAAATAACTCGTAACATTATATACACCAACGGAGATCTATATCTCCGCAATTCTAAAAATTCAATGATTATCATTGATGGATTTTCGTTTAATTTGAGAGGCGAATAATTTAAAAGACACATGCACGGCCATGGGGGGAATAAAACGTTACGTGTACCGATTTATCGTCATGAATCGTAGGATACAATAAGAAATACGTCACTCGTTTCCTCTAAGCTCTAGTAGTCGCCGATAAAATTGTTGAGAAAGCTGTAAAAATCGATTTTCATTAGTTTCGAAAATTCAATATTTTGTTCTCGGTGATTTAAATACGCGTGATGTACGTGGAAAGATGTTTAATTTGTCTTCAACTTCGAGTTGTGCAGCATCCGATGATTTACTTCCTCACGAAACCCACGAGAGCCCGATGACTGAATCTCGTTTTCATCGATGGCACAATTTGTCTCAACTGATTTCCCTGATTCTTCACTGGCTCCTTGCCACTTCGTTTCTTGAATGTCTCCTGCTTGGCTCCCCTGTATAAACAGAGCTCACCTCATACACCATCGTCTACTTATTGCTAAGAGACGGTAAGGCAAGAGGAAAAGCGCGAGAGAGAAAGAGAGAGACCAAGCGGTGATAATTTGGCAATGTGGACATTTTTTCACAAGCGAAGCAAGACGAAAGGGTGAAATTTTCTTTTTTATTCATTGACTTACAGGTATCTGGTCAAGTCCTCGACGTCAACGAGCATAGAGTCCTGCTCCATGTGAAGATCATCTCTTCTGAGGAGGCCCTCCACGAGGGCCTCGTTTAATACCGCAATTCTAGCGTGAAGATCGTTCGCTATTACTTGGAGCTGGGCTACATTCAATTCTGTGAGAAGTGCGCGGGATAATCTTCGTCTGGTCTCACCTAATTGCACACCAACCTGGGAGAACAATGGATGCATTGAGATCGAGTGATTGGAGACAGGAGAATGAGGAGAAATTATAGTAATGACGATCTGAATATTAAGGGAGGGTTACAGAACGAGAAAAATTTGCATTCAATCTCAATCGTTTCTTCATTGAATTCATGAGACTTATAAATGGGGGAAGTGTTTCGTTAATCTTTTAGATTAGATGACGGGACAAAAAGGAAATACTGTGCGATTTATTGGCGAGAGTTTGGGATGAATCGAATAATTACGACATTCCACGCTTCAAGTTTGTTTCAAAAAGGAATTTTATGCTGAATTATGGTAGAAATTGCGATAAGGAAAGAAACAATTATTCTATTGGGCTCAAGTGCTTTGAGACAAAAAATGAGAAGATGAAAATTCAAATTATACCAATTTCAAGTAGAAATGAGGTGAAAATATGCCAATTTCCAGGATCTTTTCATTAAATTGGAGTGATTTTTTTATTACTGTAAAATTCTCGAATATATTCCCCTGAATTTCTCCAAATTTTTCAATTTCTCTCAGAATAATTAAACTAAAATTAACAATTTATGTAGTATTTTCAATATTTTGTCCTTGAAGTACACTGTTAAGAATTTCATTTGAATTTTCCGTGAAAAATCAAATATTCCATTGATTTTTTATTCAAATGATTTCCAAATCTCTAAAATACTGGATTTTTGAGTTCAATTATTCTGTGAAAATCCAGAAAAATCAGGAAAATTCAAGGAAAACTTGAAAATTCATGTCCCTTCAATCAAGTTGTGAAATTTCCATCTCACGACCACTGAAAACTCGTAAATTTCCGTGAATTCTGCTTAAAACTTCAAATTTCATAATTTCATTTTTCCCTGAAGTCTATTCAATGTCACTCCCACGAGAAAAAATTCTAAGTCTATTCATCACCTTCTCCAAACTGCACCGAACCATCTCAGTAATGGGGCTCTGCTTCAGTCTCTGTCTCTCGACCTCCATCTGCATGTGTGCCATCTCCTTGGCTTGAGCCAACGCCATCCTGGCCTCTGTCTGCAGTCTCGCCTGTCTCGCAAAGAAATCCGCCTCATCGAGTGGTGCACTCGATATATCCGTCTCCAGTCTCAACGGCGGAAGACTGAGGACCTGAGGCCTGGCAGCACCACTCGACTGATACCCATTGCCCTGGCTCTGTTTAGCATTCAGCGGTGAATCAGAGTCCGAATTCGGCGACTCTGTGTCAGACGGGGTTTCGTTCATGAAGCAAATCTGTAGGTTCATGCCTGCGAGACATTCCAACGAGAATATTCATGTGAATTCGTGGGGATTGAAAAGGGAAAACAGGGTGGGTAATTGGTATCTACCACTCTGTAGGCGTGATTGTAGACTTGGCTTTCGTCCGCGTTCCAATCGAATATCGTCTGCATCCGGTCCCATGGCCAGACGCCTTCGGATTTCCTCGCGATCATTTCGACGCTGAGAACAAGATAAAAGAAGTTGATAATTCAAGCCCTAAATTGATAACTGAGGATGTTTATCCATTTCGAAATGTGTGAAAGTAATATTGCTTTGACGAAATTGAGTGAGGAATTTTTTTCACGCTCTTACGGGATTTATTTTTAATTTGATAATTCAAAATGATTGGGGCAAATAATCCAGATGTTGGAAAACTTTAAGTCTTACAACTTCATGCTAACGTCCACATTTGGTGCACATTATCTATTTTATTTCGAATAATCTACTCAAGTTGGTGAATTGAGATTCGTAACATCAGGAAGAAGATAACTCTGAGTTACATTTGAAAAAAAAACTGAATTTTTTTTCAGCGCTTACGATTTTAAGAAAATTGCATTATTTCACGTTCGAGGAAAATTCTGGAATTTGTTACAGTCACGAGCCATATGAAAAAGAACTCGTCGAGTTCTTCAACATTAAATTGAATCATTCTCTTTAACCCGTGGGATTCATTTTCAAATTGCCAACTCACAGCCTCGAAGCCTCTAACAATAAAAATAGAGGGCAACATAAACTTCGCGATCAACTCGCACTGATGAATCAAAATTTTTATCAACATCAAGAAGACAACTGTTGACTTCTTCAACATTAAGTGGAATCATTCTCTGTAACCACTGGAATTTACGTTCAAATTCATAATTCCCCTACTGGAATCCCGTAAAAATGAAACCAAAAATCGAGGGCAATGTAATCTCCGTGATCAACTCGCATTGTTGAACTAAACTGATTCATCAACATGAAGAAGACATCTCTCCCTCACAGTAAAAAAACAATTCAAAATCGCGACCCTGCGATTCCGGATAAACATCCTTAAATGAATTAGTGGCTCCTCTAAACCTCCGAGACAACATCTCCCTGGATAATCTTATCGAATCGCGCAATCACGTCTTCCTTGTCACGGTGCATTAAGCCTGACACTGGCCCATTTGCCACAGCAGCAACCATATCGTTGAATCTCTGATCTGTGACATTGCGTGCTTCCTCGAACTATCGAACGGTCCAGAAACATTAGAAAGGAATTAGCCGATTTAATCCAACCATTAATGATCTTTTCAATCGTTAAACTCACTGTCTCTAAATCCTGATCGTAAGTGAATGTGTAGAGATCAGCTATGAATCGCGAGTCTTTCTTGTAATGCCGCTGCCACTTTCTTGCACTGCCCATTGTGGAGTCAATCTACCGCTAGAGCTAACGAATTCCCAACGACTGAGGATTCAGGTGAGACCGAGCACCAGGGGCACTGGAGTGAAAGTATCCAGTTTTCCCTCACTGCCTCTGGTACTCAGTCCACCACTCCTACACCTGCCATTACCTTTGGATCAATCTCTCTGTACGCGTTTCTCACATTTACCAGTTTTGCCCATTGTTACAGGCTCTTGTACACGGAGAGAAATATTCAGTAAAAATTACGGAACAATTCACGTAATCCGCAATGGGGAATCGTCTTTCGGCAATTTTTATGGGAATCGAAGAGAAGAAATCTGAGACGTTCAGGGAATTTTAGGTTCATCATCGCACAAAATAAAAAACATTACGTTGTCGCGTAATTTTTCCCGAAGAAGTAAAATCTCACAGAAACTTGCCGAGTTATTGTGCCTACAAAATTAAAAATTCTTGAGCGTTCAACAATTTTTATGAAGCTGGTGAGTTATTTCTACGGTTCGTTCCGTACACGGAGAGAAATATTCAGTAAAAATTACGGAACTTCACTTCACTCACCGATTACGGAATGGACTCAGAAAATTTAAGTGACGGTATCGTAATTTTTATCTGAATCTCCAGTGAAACGCTCACAGCGTTCCAATTGGAATGCTTTGGAAAAATTCCGTGACAGTTCCGTAAAATTTCCTACAACCACATTTCGCTCTGGAATTCCGGAAAAGATGCGTAATTTTTATTGAATATTTCTCTCCGTGTAATTTTCTCAATCGTTGGGGAAAAATTATGGAACGACTTGTTGTCCCCACAGCGGTGAGTCATCAGACGAGTGGTTAATTTTTACGGAACAAAAATTCCGACTCACACTTTTTATTGAATTTTACTTCGCCTGCGGATTACGTTTTAAAACGTAATTTTTACGTTTCTTTTCGGGCAATTTTTATTGAATTTTTCTCTCCATGGGTTTTCGTCACGAGATATCAGTGAATCGCCAATCGTTTCGGTTTTTTCGTTCGAGTTGGGCAACACTTTGCCATTTCGAGGATAAATTTTAACACGTCGGGTTGACTCGGTGGCTCGCATGACTGATCATGCGGAACACTGACGCTGTACCGTACGGTATTATCAATAACACGGGGAACTTTTTCTTTTGGTTGATTTTTTTGGGGGTTTGGGGGGGAGTTGTGCAAGCGAATTTATGGATTTCCATGGTTTCGTGGGAATTCTGGGGGATTACCGCATTTTTCCCGGGGCATATGGGTGCGGAAACATTTGACAGGATAATGCAGCGAACTCGGTGGAGAATTTTATTGAAATTCTCCACTGAGAAAGTTTTTATTAGTTTTTAGTTGATTCTGTTGAGCTACTGCGCAGCTTAATTTTTTTGGAGGAGTAGAGCGAGAGCTGGTAGAAATTTCTTTAAAAAAACTTCGATAGGTTCGAAAAAATCGGGAAATTGCAAGTGCTTGAGCGGTAGGAAGACGAGAATTCCTCAACTTACATTTTCAATCAAAACTTGAATATTTGGGTCCAAATTACGTTGAATTTTCGATTAATTAAAATTTTAGTGATATATTTAATTAGTTTTGCTGATGTCTAGTGATTTTCATGGAATAATTGAACTGAAAATTACAGTTTCCGTTAATTTTTCGATACAAAAATTAATTAATAATTGGAAATTCCATAAAATTTTTAATTTTCAATTACGAAATTCCTTGAAATTTTATTGGAACCATTGGAAAATGCTCAACAATGTATAAATGAGCTTCGAAATTTTTTTCCTCTTTTGCTTCCGAATGGCAACTTTTTTCACAGCTTTCAATTCACTTCAAATTTTTTTCATTGAAAACAAAACTACAAATGTGTTTAAACAACTGTCATAAAAAATACATCCCCTTTGAATTCATGAGCATCCATCAAAAACCCCTATATTCAAAATTTACGTAAGTTATTCCCCTCAACGAATTGCTAACGTTAACTTCGAAATTGAATGAATTCCGCTGAGAAAGCCTCTCCATTCATCACTCCGCAATCTCGCAATATCGGAGAATTTAAAATAAATGGAAATTCCAAGTGACGTCGATTTTTCCATGAAATTCGGAATTTCCAATGTCGAAATTCCCTCAAATTTTAGTCGAAAATTGCCAACAATGTATAAATTAGCTTTTTTTTTGTTCTTTTACTTCCGCACGGAAGTTGTTTTTACCAAACAATACATCCCCTTTAAATTCATGAACATCCGTAAAAAACTCGCATATTCAAAATTTACGAGTCATTCTCCTCAACCACTTGCTAACATTAACGTCGAAATTGAATGAATTCCGCTGGGGAAGTCTCTCCACTCATCACTCCGCAATCTCGCAACATCGGAGAATTTACAATAAATGGAAATTCCAAATGACGTTGATTTTTCCACGAAATTTGGAATATCCAATTTCGAAATTCCCTCAAATTTGAGTCGAAAATTGCCAACAATGTATAAATTCGCTTTTTTTGTTCTTTTGCTTCCGCATAGAAGTTTTTTTACCAAACAATACATCCCCTTTAAATTCATGAACATCCGTAAAAAACTCGCATATTCAAAATTTACGAGTCATTCTCCTCAACCACTTGCTAACATTAACGTCGAAATTGAATGAATTCCGCTGGGGAAATCTCTCCACTCATCACTCCGCAATCTCGCAACATCGGAGAATTTAAAATAAATGGAAATTCCAAATGACGTTGATTTTTCCACGAAATTTGGAATATCCAATTTCGAAATTCCCTCAAATTCCAGTCGAAAATTCCCAACAATGTATAAATCAGCTTGGAATTGCATTATGTTCTTTTGCTTCCGCATGGAACCTTTTTTTACCAACCAATACATCCCCTTCAAATTCATGAACATCCGTAAAAAACTCGCACATTCAAAATTTACGAGTTATTCTCCTCAACCACTTGCTAACGTTGTCTTCGAAATTAAATGAATTTCTCCATTCATCACTCCACAATTTCGCAATATCGGAGAATTTAAAATAGATGGAAGTTTGACATTAAAAGGTCAGACTCCGCTCCCCCTGAACCATTCCATAAAGATTCATTACCTGAGTCTGAGAATATATTCCATAAGTGTCATTGAGATTGAGATCCTTCGGCCGCTGCACAGGCCTCGTTCTACACCGACTCTGATGCATGACGTTTGACCCACGCGCACAAAACTGTCAGCGATTCACACATTCCACCGCGTGCTATGACCAAGCGCGTGTCCGTGGTTTGTCATCACTTTAAACTCGTTAAAAATATGACAACGATTTTGTATATGCCCTCTGCATTCGTGGCCACAACTATCTGAGTGTCTCCCCCCACGCGCGCGTTTTCAGGGAAAAAAATATTAATAGAAGCTGAATGCAAGTGAATGGCAACGTGTGTGACGCCAGCGTATGGGGGACGACAGTGAGAGGAGATGTGAGAAGTTTTCCCCCCGTGCGGATCGCTTTTTCCCACCCAGTGGGCGCACACTGATGCGCCCCTCACCAACATCCGCGATAGCACAAGTATCGATTTTGGGAATTTCGTACGAACCCCATGTCTGCCCCACCGAAATCCTGATATCGCAATTGAAATTGAATAAATGCACATCTAGAGACGAGACTGGGACGAATGGGGCAAACTGGGCCCCTTTTGCATTTTTTTAAAAAGTTGGTAATGTTCAGGGATAGCCGTATAATTACCTATTAATTACTGATTATAATTACCGTTCAATTATTAAGTAGTCAATTGGTTAATATCACTCTAAAATTTCAATTATTGAAGTCATCATCAATTTAAATATTCGAATTACACAAGTATCGATTTTGGGAATTTCGTACGAACCCCATGTCTACCCCACCGAAATCCTGATATCGCAATTGAAATTGAATAAATGCACATCTTGAGACGAGACTGGGACGAATGGGGCAAACTGGGCCCCTTTTGCATTTTTTTTTAAAGTTGGTAATGTTCAGGGTATAGCAGTATATACAGATAGCCGTATAATTACCTATTAATTACTGATTATAATTACCGTTCAATTATTAAGTAGTCAATTGGTTAATATTACTCTAAAATTTCAATTATTGAAGTCATCATCAATTTAAATATTCGAATTACACAAGTATCGATTTTGGGAATTTCGTACGAACCCCATGTCTACCCCACCGAAATCCTGATATCGCAATTGAAATTGAATAAATGCACATCTAGAGACGAGACTGGGACGAATGGGGCAAACTGGGCCCCTTTTGCATTTTTTTAAAAAGTTGGTAATGTTCAGGGATAGCCGTATAATTACCTATTAATTACTGATTATAATTACCGTTCAATTATTAAGTAGTCAATTGGTTAATATCACTCTAAAATTTCAATTATTGAAGTCATCATCAATTTAAATATTCGAATTACACAAGTATCGATTTTGGGAATTTCGTACGAACCCCATGTCTACCCCACCGAAATCCTGATATCGCAATTGAAATTGAATAAATGCACATCTTGAGACGAGACTGGGACGAATGGGGCAAACTGGGCCCCTTTTTAATTTTTTTTTAAAGTTGGTAATGTTCAGGGATGGCCGGATAATTACCTATTAATTAGTGATTATAATCACCGTTAAATTATTAAGTAGTCAGTTGGTTAATATCACTCTAAAATTTCAATTATTGAAGTCATCATCAATTTAAATATTCGAATTACACAAGTATCGATTTTGGGAATTTCGTACGAACCCCATGTCTACCCCACCGAAATCCTGATATCGCAATTGAAATTGAATAAATGCACATCTTGAGACGAGACTGGGACGAATGGGGCAAACTGGGCCCCTTTTTCATTTTTTTTTAAAAGTTGGTAATGTTCAGGGATGGCCGTATAATTACCTAGTAATTACTGATTATAATTACCGTTAAATTATTAAGTAGTCAGTTGGTTAATATCACTCTAAAATTTCAATTATCGAAGTGATCATCAATTTAAATATTCGAATTATTTATAATTTACTCAACAGAAAATTTACAGTTTCATATTATCAAATATTTAATTCATTATCAATTGGAAATTGAGATTATCAATTATTTTACTGTTTAAATTTCGATTAGTATATTTAAACCTTAATCAATGCAAATCGGAATTTTTTTTAGTTTTTTAGATGACGAGGCGAGTGGGGCAAAATGGGAATTTTCGAATTTTCTTGAAATGTTAGTAATTGTTGGAGAAATGAGATTATTTTTCTTTCCTTGAAAAAGACAATTGCTTCCCTTTTGTGATGAGCCTAGACTGAGTTTAATTGATAAATTTACTTATGAGTTATGAACATCGAAAAAAATGTCACTGACACCGTGATATCGCCATTCGAAATTGAATGTTTCCATGATGACGAGACTCGAACAAAGATACTTGTCATCACTAAACACATTTTGAATTGTGCTGCGCTGGTCTGATATTTAATAGTTGTTTTTAACTGGATTAAAGGTCACAGAACTGATAGCCCCCCCTCCAATCACGAGTTGTTGACGAGTTTCGTAATTTTAAATTGACTTACTCGACGCTCCTCCTCCCGCGCCGCTCGCAGATGTGACTCTATGGCGTCGAGATCAATTTTTGGCATCGCTGTCTCTATGTTGTAAACGTCGAAACCACCTGGAATTCATTAATTGATCGATTAATCAATCAATGTGTAAATTCTTGTTATCGTGAGAGTTCATTGGAATTTCACGGTATTTTGAGATTGAAAATTCACAATTTAATGAACAAAACAATTAAGAGTATAAATTTGCATTCAATTATTCCGTGAAAATTTTTATTAAAATATTCATATTTTTATCGAAAATTCGAGTAAATTGTGCATTTCTCTTTTTCGGTTGGTTAAAAATTTGGGACCCCATTGAATTTTCTATGAAATTTGGAAAACTCAATGGAAATTGATCATTTCAGTTCAATAATTCCATGAAAATTAAAAGAAATCAGGAAAATTCAAATAAAGACATCTTTTTATTTTTAACTAATTAACAAATTCAGCGTCATTTGACAGTAAATATTCATCTACTGACTGAAACCTCACATAAGTTTGGGAATTCTCGTCTTCCTGCAGCTGGAAAATTTGGCATTTCATTGAATTTATCGTGAATTCAATATTACCCTCTCGAAAATAACTAGTCAACTATCCCCGAAATTTCAATTTTTCTCCAACAGTGAATGTAATTCCCCACACGGAAAACATATTTTGATAAATATATAAAACAATATCTTAAATTGGCCCAATTTATCAAAAAAAGATGTCAAATATATGTTTTACATATATTTTTCAAATTCAGTAGCGAAGCGGTAAACCGGGTCAAGTCGATTTTGACCACTGGCCAGTTTTTGACGAATATCTGGGAATCTAAAAGAGATAGAAAAATTTTTGTCATGACCTTTTTTGTAGAGCCAACTGAGGGTTATAAAAAAGGTAATGAGCAAAATTTTGCTATCTCTTTTATATTCCGAGATATTTGTCAAAAAATGCCCAAAAGTCAAAATCGACTTAACCCGGTTTACCGCTTCGCTATTGAATTTATAAAAAATATATAAACAATATATTTGAAACATATTTTACATATTAAAAAAAAACAATACGGCGGTTTTCTTTCAAATTTATAAAGAATATATAAAAAATATATGGAATTGGCCCATATTCTATATTTTTTTATGCATTTTTTTATGGGAGTCCCTGATCACGAAATGAACATACCAGCCCTCTCCACTTGCTCCATCCTCCTCTTGTCCGTCCTCCCACTGTGTCGCTGAGGTCCATGTCCCTGCTGGCGCCTCCTCGCCTGATTCCTCACCATTTTCTCCTTCTTCCGGCAATCGACACTGAGTTCCGCGTCTTGAGTAAGATCCACAAGTTTATTGGTGTCCTCCCTCAGCGTGTCTTTCACCAGACCGGGAAGTGGTCGCGAGTGGACATCCACCGCCTCCATAGCCACCACGTCGGGCACTGGTTGAACGTACTTCTCAAGATCAACCCCAATGTCCCGACCGATGCTCGACAGCAGATCAATCTCCTCCAGTTTCTTGTACGGCAATTGCTCCTCAGATAAACCCTCCGAGTCTGTATTAGTCTCCGACTCCTCAGTTTTTCTTTCCACCGGTATTTCCGTCGACTCGGGGATCACGTCGATGCGCTCAATCACCTGTTCCTCGGTCTAAAAGAGAAAACATAAGAATTTATCACTTCTGTTTTATTTATATACTAGAAAAGGGGGCGCATGCGTGGGCTCGCGGTTTATGCATATTATTTATGATCGTCATGTATTCATTTATTCAGTAATCACAGGAATAAAAATGTATTGTTCCCGATTTTTTTCATTATTATCATTATTATCATTAAATTATTTAAATAATGGAAAATTAAGATGTTTAATGAATTTTCTATTAGTTTCTGGTGTATTCTATTGAAATGTGCAGTAGAATTCAATTTTTCTATACAACTTATTCTATTCAGATATTTTCTGTAGAATTTCCACGGTTTGAATTTTCCATGTTTTTTGTTTGATTTTTTTTATGGAAAGAAGAGACCAATAGAATGAAGAAAACTTGGAAAATTTGAGCCGAGAAAATTCTGTAGAAAATATCTCAATAGAATAAGTGAAACAGAAAAATCGAATTCGTTTTACACTCCGGTGCTGAAATAGACTGCTGACCGAAAATGTTTCACCCATTTCTTTGAAGATAACGTAAGAACAAGGGAATGATGGGAAGAAGACACAAATTATCGGTATTACCTCACTGTCTTGCTCTGGATTTTTTCCCGCACTCTCGGGTGGTATTTCCTCAATTTGCGCAAATTGCGGTCGTTCAGTGGAACTCGATTGTAACTCGGCAAACTCAATCTCCACGGGAATATTATTCCAGTGTGTCTGGTGCTCCTCACGCAGTGCGGAGTCGTTCTCGGACGCGGAGGTCTCTTGTATATCGGTGTGCGTGTCTCCAATGCTTTTTACATAATTGAGGCACTTTTCCGAGGGGGATACGAAGCCCTCGTAGTAGGAAGTTACGGTCTGGTGGGAAATTCAGGGAATTGATTACAAATCGATGAAGGAATTGCTCGTCTTTTTGAATTAGAAATAATGGTTTCAATCTCAGAATAATTTCTGATTTTGTTTCGTGGGATTTTTGAATTTTTTCTGATTCGTAAAGGTTTGTGGGACATGAAGCTATTTTTCTTCATAAAATGAAGATTTTTTTCATGAATAATTCTTATCATTTCGGAGTTTTGCGGAATTTTTAACCGAAATCGGCCAAAAACTAATGGAAAGTTCAGGGGAAATTCATTAGAATTTTCTAGCGAATTCACTAGGGTTTTCTGCATGAAGAGAAATTCTTTAGAAAAATTCTAGAGCTGTTCAAGTAAAATTTCTGGTTGTTCCTGGTAAAATCGATGAAGATATACGAGAAGAATTCATGTGCAGCCAATAAAAATTCCAGTATCAGCACTAGAATTCTAAAGAATTTCTCTCCGTTCATGAAATTTAGTCTCACGTGTTGACTCAAGAATTAATTCTCCCCCAAATTACCTGAATATTCAACTTAGGCTTCTCGTAAAAGAACTTGTGCTCCGATTTTCGTCCGTCCAGTCGATTGACACTGTCCCCAACCGAATGATCCTGATTATTATTCTGTCCCTCTTCTTTTTCGAAATTCTCCTCGTCAATCCGGGGAGATGAATGCCGACTGTCTGGCGGCTGCTCCTCGCCGCCGAAAATTGATAGAAACGAGGGGGCCAAGTGCTGGAACCCTGGATAATTCGGATTTATAATTCCCCGACACGAACCAGGCACGCTACCCTCTTCAGAATTATCCGAGCAGTCGGAACCGCCAGACAACTCGTGCGCCTCGTAATCCGATAAACTCTCGGCGGAACTGCTCAATGATAATCTCGACACTGACAGATTGTTGTTGTTTATTATGCTATTGAGATGTTTCGAGTTAACGTTGACGTTTGTGCGGGCAACAGCCACTGAGGACCAGGTTGTTGTGTCCTCGGCGATTCGGAAATCTTGGATCTCGTAATTCTCGTCGTAGGGCACCGGCTTTGTGGTGGGGCTGTTGAAGTTCTCGAGTTGATCGGATGTCGATGGAATTGACTGATTGTCGTGACTCTGACGCTCGATTTGACTTTGGGATGAAGGAATAGTGTTTTGAAATTTTAGGGAAGTGGAAATTCCGTAGCGAAGTGATCAAGCGTTTTACATTTGACTAAACTCATCATTTTTTTATAAATCGCAGTTTAAACTTTTGATTATGTCGCATAGATTCGAAGATATTTAGCGAAAACGCAATAATTCTATTGTTATGAATGAGAATTGAACACTGAGAGAAAAAATTTGTTCTGCCGGAAAATTATAATGTGCAGAACTAGTTTTAATTAATTATTTCTAATTAATTTTTTTATCAGATTAAATAGTTTTGTGATGATTTCCGATGAATTATCGAACTGAATTATTTTGAAAAAATTAGTTCTGCCGAATAATTATAATTAAAATGTAAGCGATTGTTTTTCCGAAACGCTTTTTTTATTTTCGGTGTTTTTAATAATGCTTTTCGATACTAAATAATTACCAATCAATAATTTGATAATTCCTTCCGATAATTCACCGGAAATCATCACAAAACTATTTAATCTGATTTTTTAAAAATATAAATAAATTCAAAAAAATGCAATAAATTTATTTAACTAAACTCATTCAAAACTCGGTTTAATTTTTAATAAATAAATAAATCAAAAACTGACATGTCTTCCATTTATCCTTTTTTTATAATTCACACGTGATTTAGAATTTTTAATTTCAAAATACTCCTTCAACGTTGGACTGAATAAATGAATAAACTATTCAATGCGAACAGAACGCGAGTAAAGTCAACTTCAAGTCTGAAGAAAAGTGTTGTCGCGAGCAATTCGATTAAACCCATTCATTAGATTCGTTATTCAAATGGACCCATTCATCCGGATCCCTTGGATGCGCAGATGAGACTGGACCGTCTGACCACTTCCTTACTGAATTACTTCAGCGACGACTCCGTCGTCTAACTAACTCGTGGCTTTTTCTACTCAACCGAAAACTGTCTGACCACTTCCTTACTGAATTCCTTCAGCGACCACTCCGTCGTCTAACTAACTCGTGGCTTTTTCTACTCAACCGAAAACGGTCCGACCACTTCCTTACTGAATTCCTTCAGCGACCACTCCGTCGTCTAATTAACTCGTGGCTTTTTCTACTCAACCGAAAACGGTCCGACCACTTCCTTACTGAATTCCTTCAGCGACCACTCCGTCGTCTAACTAACTCGTGGCTTTTTCTACTCAACCTAAAACGGTCTGACCGCTTCCTTACTGAATTCCTTCAGCGACCACTCCGTCGTCTAACTCGTGGCTTTTTCTACTCAACTAAAAAGTGTCAACGTGGGCCGTTACTTACTTGTTATTCAATCCAGGGTGGATGACGACTGGTGCGAGAACGTCCTTGATCCGCATGACGTATTAATTCCTGAAATTAAAGCCAAGACCATCGATAAGATCACTTTCCTGCCTCGAGCGATTCCTCATTCAGTGGAAATTTAAAAAAATCGAAAATTCAAGGAGATTTTTGCTTGAATCTTCCTAATTTCCATCAATTTTCATGGAATAATTTACCTAAAATTCAAAATTTCCATGAATTTTCCACGAAAACCACAAATTTTTAATGGTAAAATTCCCTGAAATTTTAATGAAACCGTCACTAGTTTCATATTTTAAAACTAAAGCCTGGAACTTCAGTGAAATTTGTTAACAGTGTAGGACATTACTACGTATCGGGAGCAGAGTGTCGCCTCCCCGCTGCAATCCCATTGACTTAGATTGTCCTTCCACCCGTTGATAACGTCCACTCTTCACCCCGAATGAAAAAAAAAACCCCGAAGGACAAATAAAACGATAATATCTCTGTGCCTCGATACCTAACCGGGATTAAATGAAGACAGTCGTACTCACCATGTTAACGTCGCGCGCACACACCGTAGAGCCGACTTTTTTCAGCGTCTTCTCGTTTATCGACTTCACGAGTTACATGAGCACACACCCACACATCCCCTCAGTTACATGTCTTTGTCTCGTAACTGTACTCATTCTCTTAAAAG